TGACACTACAATTAAATAAGACTATCTTAATTGGATTTCATAATCCTTTTTGATAATTGGCATGTTTAAAAAAGTACATTTGTAAAATAACATTCCGCGGAAAGGATTTTAGTGTCGTTTTGAATATTTATCATCTTGTAATGTACCATGATCACATTAGCCAGTGCTTCGATCTCTGCGAATTCGATTCTGTCTTGTTAAAAGGATACAATATGTGAATGTTAATTTCCAGAAAAAAATGAATGCTGTAGTTATGCTAAATCTAAAGCTAAAAGTCCCTTATACTAATATGGCTGTTCTATATGTATATAGGCCCTTTTAGTTTTCATGATCTCGAAACTTTTTATATATCTAACTTCTCACAATTATGGCCGTAAGGGAGTCTAGAAGATTGTTCGACAGACAGCTGTTATGCTCAAGCAAAATCAAATAATTTATTGTTTTAGCAGAAGGTAGAAAGCAATTGTCTTAGATACATGATTTTTATTAGTTGTTATTGGCTTTGAACTAGCTGTCAGTAACTACGAGTACTCTCAGATTTACATTTACATGTAATGTCTCTTTTGTTGTGTAGGGATTAGGGATGGATAACTACTCTGCCACGTACGATCTATGTTTTTTGCTGATATTTTTCTGCTTTGTATCGATCAGATTAAGCCTTTTTCAACTGATTTATGTAGGTTGTTTTATGCTGTGCTGTTACACCGATGTCACAGGTTAGTCGGAGGGTTGAGCGTTCAAAAAAATGTTTAACCCCGCCACATTCTTTATGTGCCTGTCCCAAGTCAGGAGCCTGTAGTTCAGTGGTTGTCGTTGGTTCATGTCTGTCATACTTTTTTCTTTAAATTGTTTTGCTATAAAATAGGCCGGTAGTTTTCTCAATTGAATTGCTTCATATTTTTCATGCCTTTTATAGCCGACTATACGGGTTTTCTCATTGTTGAAGGCCGTACGGTTGCCTATAATTGCTTACATCCACTTCATTTGAACTTTGTTGGATAGTTGTCTCATTGGCAATCATACAACATCTCCTTATTTTTATATAACAATGCAACTGCAATTGAGATATGCTTAAATCACAACAGACTATTGTTATTGAAAGCTTAAACATTACATGCACTGCATGTTTTGTTTTATATATAAACTGATACAATAAAAATAGATAGGAAGAATATGGCATTACATTTTCGTCAGTTGTCGAGAAATTTACAGTTTTATATGTAAAGTATAGCCACTTCAGATCTCTATTATTGAAAATCGTGTATTAAGTTGAAAAAGTCGTTTCCAGTTTTTCTTTGTATTTGGATGTGAACTATCATTAGCGTGGAGCCATACACCGTAATATTCATTGTCAACCTGCATCTTCAAGTTAAACAATGTTAACATTTCTTCATACAATGAATGTTTGTACTTCTGCCTGCTAGGGTTCTTTAAATCACTCGATACAACCATTCATTGTTCGGCCGTCAACGGAATGAAGCAAGATTGCTTGAATATAACGGTTCAAAAAAAGAATCCAAAAGAAGCAATTTTATCATTATTATTTTGTTAATTAAATTGACGTTTTGTGAAGATTGAAAAGAATGCAGAAATGGTTAAAACCCTTAACTACAAAATGTACAATGTTATGTAAATTTGATATCATGTAAATTTTACATTCCTACCTTCAAAAACGATGCCACTGCTGTTGATAGTCCCAAGGGGTATCACTATCACTTGCCATTCTTAATTAGAAATAATATTACATCAGAAACTTCAGTTGAAAACTATGTTTAGTTGTTTTTCCCTCTTGCAAATTTATTTCTAAGATGTTTCTGCCATCCTTTTTATATTGCTTTGGTTGAATAACTATTCAGCAATACATTTGATATTGTGCACACATATTACAAATGATAATTAAAAGGCACATATTGGGCAAACATTTTGGTTGTTGTGATTTCTAATAGAAAAACCGGAATAAAAATGGTCGTCATGTTCGCATATACATGTACTCTATTAAAATGGAAATTATAGATAGTTACCAGGTATTCTCCATATCTTGACTTGCATTAAAGATTGGTTGTGGGCAAAGCTTTACATCAAGAGAGTTGAGTTCAATATTCCAATTGTGAACTTTCGTAATGTTCCAGCGGCACTTTTATATTAAATAAGCGTCTCCAGGACTTGCTTTCACTATCGGGATTTCTTTTCTAAATGACTTTGTATACTAATTTGTACATTACATGTGTATGCAAATCGTGTGTTTGTTTGTTCTATATTGGGTAGAGGTATAGGGGGAGGGTTGGGATCTCAAAAAACATGTTTAACCCCGTCGCATTTTTGCGACTGTCCCAAGTCAGGAACCTCTTGCCTTTAATTTGTTAGTCTTGTATTTTTTTATTTTAATTTTGGTTCATTCATATGTTTTGGAGTTTAGTTTGACGTCCATCTTTGCGAAACTAGTATACATTTTTGTTTAGGAGCCCTCTGAAATCCGCCTCCAGGTGCGGGATTTTTTCTCTGTGTTGAAGACCAATTGGTGGCTTTTGGCTGTTTTCTGCTCTGTGGTCGGGTTGTTGTCTCCTTGACACATTCCCCGTTTCCATTCTTAATTTTATATCTTGATTATTTATCATTCACCGACTAGTATTCCACTTTAAAACAGACAGATCAGTGGAATATCGGAAGACACAATGAAGAACGTCCACTATTTTTATCTTTTCTTCAGAGAAAGCACATAACTCTTTGATATCAGTATAAGATTGATTGGTATTTTCTTTACACGACCACACGACAGCTGATTAGAGCATCTCGACTTTAGGACGAACAACCGAGATATTTTATGTCGACTTGTCGAGATAAGTCGACATAAGATGGGACTTAGTCGACTTAATTATCTCGGCAACTCGACCTCATTTCGGCAGAAATAAGCCTCCATAGAAATTACCATTATCAATAAACACACGTTCTATTTGACTTTATGTAAATATAATATGTTTTTAATTGGAACTGTCTTTTACACGAATTCATTCAGCTTTATTGAATTGTACACAAATAATAGATGGATGCACATCTACACTGCCACATTTACAGTATTTTTTTTCTTAATTCAAATACATTTGAAATGAAATTTATATTTTGTAAGTATTTTACAAGCTGTTGATCATATTTCTAGTTGAGAAAATTTGATTGTTTTTGCGTAACACCTGCATTCATAATTTATGTTCACTTGTTGTAAATATGTTTCTGTTGCTTTATTTAATGACTGGCTGTTGCAAACCTACATCGCACATAATATTTGTGTTTTGTTTCATTGAGCCCCCAGGTTGTATAGAACAGAAATGCCTTATGTTCGGATGAAATAGAACACAAGATCTGAAAGGCAGATCAGGAGAAAACAGAAGATACACTGCTTATTGTGAACTAAAGCAATGTCGCATACAATATCATAAAAAAATATTTACAGTGGGCCACTCTCCCTCCTCTATTACAAAATGAACATTTACTTGACAACGATGCTAACATATTTTGTCATTTATTTTAACAGGTATGAATATTTTTATTAACTAATCATACATACAAACATACATACATACCAATAACATTTGTTATCACATCGGTTTTCAAATAACAATCAATCAAAATGTTACGTTATACCGCAAAAACTGCCTTGTTAAGACTTACAATTCAAAACAGAGCCCCATTTAAAAAAATGAAAAAAAAGAATTAATCAGGAGAAAATGAAATGAATAACATACTTACTTATGGCACACTCTTTAAGTAAATAGTGGTGCTGTAAAAATTAACAGAAATGATATAAGTCGGCTGAGCATGTATGGTGTGATTCATGTCGAAACAGACAAATTGATCTTCAATGAAAGTAGCTTATTCAAGACTTTCAAGGGGTATTTCACACTCCAATAAATATATAAAACTGCTATAAGCATAAACTTTATAACAAAATTTAATAAATTTATAAAGAGTTGCTAAGCGGTTGTAAGAGCGTCAGTCAGAAGCGTAAGAATCAGAACTACAAAGGTGTAGTTAAAGATTTACTGCATACAGATATAAACGAAATTTGTAAGATTTCTTGTGTTATTTATAAACTTATGTAACAGTTGTATTCATATCTATTTGAGTATTACAATAAATTACTTAAATCATGAATCTTTATAAATTCAAAGCATTCGTTTTTTTTATTAGATTGGTAAGTACAATACATACAATAATTAACGCCATACTTCAAGGTTGTTTATTATGTACATCTTACATGTAATCATATCTAAAAAAAGAAATATGTGCAAAAGGTTCTAATGAAAGCTTCAAAAACACTATATTGATCGAAAATGCAAGCACAACTTGGAAAAAACTATTCAAAATTTCCAATGTGCATTTAAACCTTTGTAATACCATGAATACCAAAGGTACTGAATATAATTTTTATAACTTTTTTTCAGACTAACACTTTATCAGCCGCTATTGACAATTATGAAATATGTACAATGCATTAAATTGAAACAAATGTAGACCAGGTATAAGATGAAAGTCTTTAAATAAAAGAAATAGAAAACACTAAACATTGCTAAAGGGACAACACAAAAATCAGAAGTCTTAGAAATATCAACCTTACTATGGCAAAATCAATGACGACAAGAAGACAAACAGCAGTACACAAAAATCTACATAAAAAAATAAAAACTGAGCAAATCAAACTCCACTAAAAATGGGAGTGATATCAGGTGCTCCAGAATGATAAACAACCCCTGCTTTAAAATGAATAGAATTTGTATTTCAAACATAAACTTACTCCTACTTGGATGAATTCTTATGAAATCTTATTGATTGTTGTTCATAGGAAGATAATTTTTATGGCTGAACAGACTGTCAATAAAAGCAAGTCATATTTTATGTTGAATAAATTTGACGTGTGGTGATACTTGAACCAAGTAAATGACATCGTCATAATTTTGTGGCATTGCTTTAAAAAAAATAACAGCATATTTAGAATAATGTGTCTTGACTTCGAGCTCCTGATTCAAAATAATATTGCTTTCGATGATTCACGCATGCTTTGGTAATTCCTGAGACTGTATACGATGTATTAAGGTTTGTTGACATGCTTTATAGATTGTTGTGGTGTGTCATACAAGAATTTGGTGTGAACTATTGCGGTGTCACAATATGCTACATTTTCTTTTTCAGACTTCTGCTTGGAGAACTGGCCTTGAAGAAAATGTAATGATGTTCGTAGCATTTTTGCACGTTTTGCCATAGTGATTTTTAATGCACTATTGCTGGATGGATTTTGTTGGTCTGGTTTCAAAAATGACGTTGTTGCCATAGCATAATCATATTCCGCTTCGAAACGTGTAGGCTCTTTACTTCGTACATCAAAATCATTTGCCTTATCATAAATTTGGCAATCAGGAATGCCTCTATTTAGGGTCTTCAAATAGTCCCTTTGGTTCTCGTATGTCCTCTTTTCATTTTCAATAATCGGCTGTCGGGCGCCGAGCTCGAAATGATGTTCATTTCCTTCTGAATGAGCTTTCCTTCTTCTTCGTCTAAAGAAAAATACAAGCGATTAAATAGCATAGTAAGCAACAATTGTTAACATTGATTTCTTAAAGGCAACCTTCATTGGTACAAAATACAAGTGTTACTTTATTTTATGTTCCTTAAAACATATTTGTTTCTTCTAGTAACAACACTGCATGTAATTTATTATGTTAAACGAGTTTGAGAGAAATAAAAATACTTTTAAGCACTTTTTAAATGAAAAATATAGTGAAGTAAGTACTAGTATACAATTATTGAAATACATCAAAATCACTAAAGTTCAATCGAAGAATACAGATAAGTGATAGAATAAGAACTACTGATTATTAGCAAAACAGTACTTGATTTGATTTATGGTTTTTCAACATTTATACTTTACTGGAATATTAATCAGGAAATAGTAAATTCGTGTGTAATAAGTGTCCTTTGTGCAATGACAATGCATACATCTGCTGTATCGCATAACAGTACAATACTAGTTGTCAAGTTGTCAAGTGCGCTCTCATAACGTACCTTTTTCTTACAGTTATTAGAACTGCGATTATTATTAGAACGACCAGTGCTGCTAAGGCTGGAACTGAAATGAAGAGTTTTCCTTTTTTTTAATCACATGTTAATATATATATAGTTTTTTTTAGTTTAAGCTCAAATGACCCTATATATCATGTGAGCTGTTGTCATCACTTGGAGTTCGTCGTTTGTTGTCGTAAACCACAGGACGTACTTTAAGGAAACTTGGTATGGATGATCATCCGTGTATATAGTATAGCGTATGTTTGTTTTGCGGCAATGGCTTAATACAGAACATAAAAATAACATGTTTAAAGTTACTGTCTAATATCGTATAACCTATTAAAGGCAGAGACATTTTGACGGAGCAAAACGTTAAAAATCTACCTACTTTTAGTTTTTCAAAATTTATTGGATGGCTCATACCAGGTGTTATCGCCATTACATGGCATTGTATGCACACAGATCGTTAAAGCAAGTAACTATAAACAGTCAAAAGGATCAGCAAGTCAACATTGGTATTGTCAACAGACTCTTTTAAAGTGTGTTTGTCTAAGATTATCTAAATAAAATAAACAGTTCTAGATAATGACCAGGAAGTCAGGTGCAGTTTGCTTGATTTTCCTTTTTAGTTATATTTTACATAACAAGGATAAGAATTATTTTCTTGTATGCATGTAAGTTCTCTCATTTCTCTATTTTTAAACGTATTTATTTGTATAAAAAAATGTTGTTATGGTTAATTTAAGCAACGAGGAAATACTTAGGATTTCTATATCAGGAATTGATTACCTTAGCTATATTTGGAAAAACCTTTCGGAATGTTTGGCCCTAATGCTTTGCAACTTCGTACTTTATTCAGCCTTTTAATTTGTTTGATTCAAGCGTCACTGATAATCTTGGTATCTTTATTGAGTCATATATACATTTTATATTTTCGTATTTATTACTAGTATCCAAACTTATAATAATACTTCTCTTTAGAAAGGCAATGATACAGATGGAGGTGCACTTTGAACTCGAGTGTTTATTACATGTAAAATTTTGATTACATACTGACCATGTCCTTTTTCGGGAAGTGTTAATTTATACCCAAGTTTACTTCGCATTATTCAAACTTATGTGATGAAGCGTTCATTGTTTAGTATTATTATGTACATTTTGGTACACGATTATAGGTCATAAGGCTTAAAAAAGGGTATTAGAAGATTTTGCAAAATCTAATTATTCTTATTGTTTGGATCAAAACTTAATTGGTGGCCATCGGCTGTTGTCTGATCTATAGTCGGGTTGTTGTCTCTTTGACACATTCCCCATGTCCATTCTCAATTTTATTAATATTATGTAATCATGAATACTGAAGAAAAGAAAACATTTAATGTCACTTAATTTAACTTGAATGCTCCCAAAAAGCTGTATATTTGAATATTATTACTTACAAAAATGTTCAGATTGGGGGAAAACTAACATTAATTTCAAAAAGCAATATCTTTGACAAGTGATTGAGTCCGGCTCTTCAAAATATTTTTTTTAATTCTGTATGTTTGAACGATTTATTAGCTGATGGTTTATTAGTTAAAAAGTATTAAATTATAGTTTGCAGGTTAGTATTAATTTTAGAAGTAAATGGAAGCATATCGAAAACGAGACCGAGTTACAATATAAAATGAAACTTAGTTCTGAAAAAGCACTTGGCTAAAATATTATTTTGTTATTGACTGCATACAATACCTAACTGGATCTTGCCATTACTATATTCGTGTTCCTAATGAAGCATTGTTTTATTTGTTGCTATGTGTATGTGTGTGTGTTTGTTGTTGTCTGTTATATTGTTATTGCATAATTGAGTTCCTTTTTCTGTAATAATATTAATTGTACATTGAAATTTCACTGACCCATTTAAAGGGGGAGGATTGAGTTTACACGTACAAGAATAAGTTTTAATCCGAACTATGTTTATTTACATGTACTATGTCACACCTCCCTTTTGTGGATTTTTAATGTTGTATCTAAATTATTACGACGGGTGCCACATGTGGAACAGGATCTGCTTACCCTTTCGGAGCAACTGAGATCACCCCCAGTTTTTGGTGGGGTTCGTGTTGTCTTGTCTTTAGTTTTCTATGTTGTGTCATCTGTACTATTATTTGTCCGTTTGTCTTTTTATTTTTGGCCATGGCGTTGTCAGTTTGTTTTCGATCTATGAGTTTGACTGTCCCTCTGGTATCTTTCGTCCCTCTTTTATTGTAGTCCTACAGACAGTTTAGTAACGATGACAATTTTCGACAGTCTCTGTTAGATTTATCATTTTCTTGTTGACTCTAAATTCTAAATTGTTCAAAAAGAAAACCAGACTGTATAAAATGCACGTTAAATAAACCTCATCACAACAAATGAATGATCCGTGAGTAGCCGGTTTGCAATATTTCTATCATTATTTGCAATCTTAACTGTCTGTTCTACATCCAGGTCGCAAAACCCACATATATTATTAATTGATTCCGTTCTGATTTTGGATATAGATGTGCTCTTTTTCTTTTGGTGTTTATAATTATTAAGCCAGTCATCAGCAAAAAAAATGAAGTTAAAAAAAGTAAACTGAGCACGTACCTAGTGAGAAGAGGACACTATAAACTAAACTATTGATTGATGTTTCATTTGCCACTGTTCTGTTCTCATTATCCAATGGTGCATTTAAGGTAGTATATTCAGTAAAGCTATAGACAGTAGTATCACTTGAACTTGATAACGACGATGAAACGGAAATAGTACTGGATCTAGACCATACAACAGAATGTTCTTGTGTTAACGATGGCGTGAAAGAGTCTGTAAAGTCTGAATTCGTCGATACAAAATTTGTTGACATGGCCTGTGGGGAAGATGGGTTGACAGGATTTGCATAGTCTGAATTCGTCGATTCAAAATTTGTTGACATGCTCGCCAGCGACGATGTTAAAAACACTGTTTCCGTGCCTAGAGTTGTTGGAGTGGGATCTGGATTGTTGGATGTTATATTGCTATGTTCTAATGTTGGTTGAGCTCTTGTGATAGTGGAGGTAGCATTGTCTGTAATAGTCAAATTAAAAGTTCAAAGCCACTCGAAAAATAAACATAATAATAGCATGCACCTTTACAAACAAAGTATAACAATTACGCAGTCATGTTGGTTATTTATATACCTATTTTCCTCTGATCAGTAAATCTTATTTGATTACTTAAATTCTAATATTTAAAAACAAGCATTTAAATATGTGTACTCATTTTGCAAATTTTGTATAGATAATAAAAGATGACCTCTAATCCAACACTTGATTTCAATTTTATTATTTTTTTAATTCGTCTTTTTTTCTTCTGAAGAACACATAAGTACTAATATCTATATCAGTACTGGTTGGACACTGTCTAATAACATCTGGATCTCCAGGCTGTTTGGGTTTGCAGATGGCCGTGTATTTGTGGTCACAAGGTAATGGAATATACTTCAACTTCCTGTATTTCACATTCAAATATAAGCAACCAACATTTAACAATCCTTCTACTTCATCTGAAAAATAAAAATGATAATAAAACAAATAGCTCCATTTTTTTAATTTATTTCTTTTTTTTCAAGTTTACTAAGTTGATATGTTTGATTTGGGTGAAAACTGATATAACGCTTAAACCATACAAAAACTACAATTCAATTTTATTTATTAATTCAAATGGTGTGCCCTTTCGAATTCATATAAGTCGTGAATTGGTGATTCAAACTCATCAGTAGAAAACAAACTGACAATATCATGGCAAAACAAATACAAAAAACGACCAAAAAGACAAACAACTGTACACAAAACACAACATAGAAGCTATACATTGAGCAACATGAGCACCACAAAAAAAAAAAACGGGGGTAATCGCAGATGCTCTGGAAGGGTCAGCAGATCAAGTCCACATGTGTCACCCATCGTCTTGCTCACGTAAGTACAAACCCTGTGATAAGTCTGATTCGGTAGGTTACATTCGAGCAAATGAGGACGGGATTGTTAATACGACAATTGGATCATATCCATCATTATCTGTGAAATATATATTCCATAACGGTCAAACAACTCGTGATGGCGTCCGTAAAACTTTTGAAGGGATGATTTAAACTTCACCATTTGGAACACTTGGTGTAATATCTTCCTTGTGAAAAGCAACCCTCTATGAATGAAATCATGTTAGGAAATGCAAGCTCTAAAATATCGCATTAACTGGGAGAAATATACTCTATATGCAGGCGATGCTGGAATGTTGCTACATAGAAATGGAAAGTTTACAATTGGGAAGCTGGCATAATCTCTTTTGTCATAAAGGTGTTCTCAACAACTTTCAATTTCAACATGTTAGTCAAGATTTGAGGCAGACTAAACAGTATCTGTTGAATACTTTATTGCAAGTTCGATGGGATAGATGCGTTCAACATAGTCACTAAACTGAATTATTTAGTAAGAGAGCATCATCGATATAGCGGGAAATGAAGTTAAAGAATAATGCTAGCATCTTTACATTCTTTGTTAAGCATATTTGACATTATTGCTATGGAAATATTGAGCGATTAGATCCTTATGATATATTGCTTAGAATATTCATACCAATTTAGAAACTTCGATATGATGTTGAAGGGTGGATTTTAATTTGTTCTTCTCAATAGCTATTGTGTGTACATATTAAAATGTTTATAAAGCCTAAAAAAGAGACGGACATGAAAGTTATCAACGCTTAGGTAATCGCTGTGTTCCATTTTATCCTCAGACTCTATCTCTTATCTTTCCGTCATTCAACAGAGTCGCTGCCTTTGAAAGACATGTATACTATTAAACTTAGAGAAAACTGAGAATATGTTTTCATATCTTACAAGTTTGTCAACAACAACAACAAAAGTTTTGTAATACTATTTTTTTTTAAGTTAAGCTGGAATGGAGGACCATCAGTTCTCGAACTCTGTAAGTTATCGATTAAGAATTTTTAAGAGCCTTCCTATTTTTTTCTAATGGTTTAGATTCTAGTATAATTTCTCCAACTCTGCCCTTAATCAGTCATTTATCAAGATTTCCTCTAACATTTATTTTAATTATTTATACAATTACATTACAATATAACATGTACAAGGATGGAAATTCGGCTATTATCTACTGAGGTTTTGTTTACTAATTTGGTTGTTCAATTTAGGCTTTTGTGGTTTTGATATTCCTATATGTAAATGTATTCGTATTTGGCTTCCGCCGATGAAAATAGCTTCAAGTATACATGGTATATTTGTCGTGTGTACTGAGTTTGGTATCATTTATTTATATTTATATTAATCATGTTAATACTGTGTGATTGATTCCACTAATGGTGGACTATTAGTCTCTAATGCTAGTGTAACGGGTGTGTATTCTTTTTTCCACTGGCTTCGTTGTCTTCTCCACGGAAGCCATAAAAGAACACATAAAAAATAGAATTTATCCGTTATCTGGGTTTCCCAATCCGTGATCTCGGATTCGCAATCCATGATCTTAGATTCGCAATCCGTTATCTCGGATTTGTAATCCGTTTTCTCAGATTCCAAATCCGTGATCTCGGATTTATAATCCGTTATCTCGTATTGATAATCCGTTATCTCGGAAAAATAATCCGTTACATCGGTTTCCAAATTCGTGATCTTGGATTAACAATACGTTACTCAGATTGATTATGCGTTATATTGGATTGATAATCCGTTATATATGATTGATAATCCGTTATCCCGCTTTCTCAATTCGTTATCTCTGATTTCCAATCAACGATCTCAGATTAATAATCCGTAATCTCGGAGACCAAATCCATGATCTGGAATTAATATTCCTTGATCTCGGATTTCCAATTGTTATTAGACATGGACCTGTATTTATCTTCGTTATTTTTCAAGACACATGCACTGACAAAATATGATTATTATTCATCTATGACAAGTACTTGTCAGGATCGGGACCTAAAAGCAAATCAACCAAAGTCATGCATAAAATGTAGATCAAGATAACCTAGTTTTGGTATTGACCTTAACGTAAAGGTTAGCCGGGACGAACATTCGAAGTATAAAACGGACGAACTAACCAAAACATTATATATACCCCTCCTCAACTCTGTTAAACAAGGGGATAGTTAAATCTATCCCGAAAGAAGTACGATGCAAAATGTAAGTGCCGTGTGTTAATCCGAGATAACGGTTTATTAATCCGGAGATCATGGATTGGGAATACGAGATAACGTTTATTAATCCAAGATCACGGATTGGGAAACCGATATAACGGATTAATTTCATTTTTTATGTGTATCTTATGGCTTCCGTTCTTCCCGTTGTTTACACAAGATATGGGATATTGGACAAACTACGTAAATTCATAAACAAGATGTTTAATTAGAAGACATATAGTTTAATACAAGTTTACATACAATAAATGTAAAAGTACGGTTGTAGCAAGTCTACTTGTTGTCACTGTTTGATTATCAAAAAATAGTATATATATATATATATATATATATATATGTGTGTATCTTATAAGTAATAGAAAACTATGATGTTAACTCCAATACCCAAAGTATCATTGACAGTTCTGTTAGGTATGTTTAGCTATTTTTGGTGAAGATGATTTAACAAAAAAATGAGTATGTAGGTTACTTCTTATACGTTCAGGTATTTCACATCCAATTTTTTATGGAAATATTCTTTATAAAGCACAAAAATGTCAGTATTCACCTCTGAAACTAACAAAACCTTTAAATAGACTTATTAAGAAGGGATATAGTTACGATACTGTTGTCAGGTCATTAAAGATTGCATATTTTGGCGTTGATATTGATTCACTTATAGGGTCTTTGCATCTGCACTAAACACATTTATTTAAAAACCAGTTGTTGGCATGACACGGGTTATGTTCTTCTCATATATGTTATGATGGTATGATACTAAACCCCTAACGGGAAGGATTGTGCCTGATATTCATATGATGAAGACATAATCTTTCAATCAGTTTAATTGAAGTCTGGAGCTGGCATGTCAGTTAACTGCTAGTAGTCTGTTGTTATTTATGTATTATTGTCATTTTGTTTATTTTCTTTGGTTACATCTTCTGACATCAGACTCGGACTTCTCTTGAACTGAATTTTAATGTGCGTATTGTTATGCGTTTACTTTTCTACATTGGCTAGAGGTATAGGGGGAGGGTTGAGATCTCATAAACATGTTTAACCCCGCCGCATTTTTGCGCCTGTCCCAAGTCAGGAGCCTCTAGCCTTTGTTAGTCTTGTATTATTTTTAATTTTAGTTTCTTGTGTACAATTTGGAGTTTAGTATGGCGTTCATTATCACTGAACTAGTATATATATTTATTTAGGGGCCAGCTGAAGGACGCCTCCGGGTGCGGGAATTTCTCGCTGCATTGAAGACCTGTTGGTGGCCTTCTGCTGTTGTCTGTTCTGTGGTCGGGTTGTTGTCTCTTTGACACATTCCCCATTTCCATTCTCAATTTTACTCACAATATGAAATTTAAAAATAACAACTCACTTTCGACCAAACAACGTATAGTCTTAAAATATACCACAACCACGTGAACACCTTCTACTGCCTTTTCGCAACACAAGCAACACGTTGACTCTGACAAGATCAGTCATGCACACAAAATAGTTTGGATTTGAACTACTCGCACCAGACTTCTCCTAAAGTTTACTCAGTGGTTTAGACAACTTGTGATCGAGGCCCGCTTTGCTTCGACTATTTTGTAATTTTTTTTTTACGTTGTACTTGCTGAATAGAGTAAATACCGTAATCGATTATATAAATATAAAAAGGCTAGCTTGATACGAAAAAATTGAATTTATTGCAAAATATTTTTTAAATCATTAACCTACAGCAGATTTCATCCAGCGATTCACTAGTTATCCATTTCAGAAACATGGATCTGCTAATATTGGACCAGTACTCTCTGCCATCTTCCAAATTA